AATGGTTACTATAAAGTAATAAACATTTAAGTAAAACTTGTTTGCCCCCAAGAAGACTTTGCAACTTTAAAAAAGGTGTTATAAGTAAAAAAAAACTTTCAAGTAAATTTAATTTGTAGCAGTTACTTTCGGTTGCTACCTAAAGATTACATTATAATTATTTTTACTTTGTAGTCCCTTTGCAAGTTAAAATCTCGAAACTGGAACATGAGTTAAAAACTACAAAGTTAATAACTTAAAAGGTATTATTTTAGTATTTGGAACGTTTATGGTACCAACCAAAACAACCGTAAAGTGGAAAAAACTTTAAAGTAGGGAAAACTACTTCAAAGGAAAATGCTTCTTATCGGCCATTTTTTACTGTACAGTACCACGTGATAATGTAAATAATAAATTATTTTAATTGTTTGTAAATGGTTGTTTACTTTTTAATAAATAGTAATTTTGTTGGTAATAGACGGTATTAATAATTAAATAAAAAAATTCATAATAAATATTAAGATTTTTTTATTTATAACATTATTAAATAAATAATTTGTTTGTACTTAAATATTGATGAAGCGCATTTATTTTACAAAAACTAAATTCATAAATTCAACAGTAAAATTTAAAGGGTTTATAAATTTACATGCCTACCCTGCTGAAAAAGACGGGTAATATCGGATGATTGCGGATAAAAAACCAAGCTAGTTTTATGTCCATTTATATCTGTTTTCATCCGACATATCTGATTTTACCCTGCATGTCGGTTTTTATCTGCAATTGCGGGTATAAATATTATCCGCGAACGTCGGGTTTTATCTGTTTAGTTCTATGTCTGCTTTCATCTGGTTTCATCCGCAAATACCTGTATAAGGGTTTATATCTGCATTCACCCGGTTTTATCTGATTTTATCCGCAAACGTCTGCTTTATCAGATTGCACCTGCAAACATCTGGTTTTATACGTGAAGATCTACTTTCATCCGCGAACATCTATTTTAATCCACAAACATCTGATTTCATCCGCAAACATCTACTTTAGTCCGCAAAAGTCTGCATCATCCGATTTCACCTGCAAACATCTGCTTATATCCACAAACATCTGTTTTAATCCGCAAACATCTAATTTAGTCCGCAAAACTCTAATTGATCCGATTTCACCTGCAAACATCTGCTTTTATCCGCGAAGACCTGCTTTTATCTGTGAACGTCTGCTTTAATCCGCAAACTTCTGCTTTTATCCGCAAACATCTGCATTTATCCACGAACGCCTGCTTTTATCCGCGAACATCTGCTTTTATCCTCAAACATCTCATTTTATCCGCGAACATCTGCTTTTATCCGCGAACATCTGCTTTCCTACGGTTTCACCCGCAAACATGCTTTTATCTGCAAACATCTGATATTATCCGCAAACATCTGCTTTTATCGGCAAACATCTGCTTTTATCCGCAAACATCTTATTTTATAGGCAAACATCTGCTTATATCCGCAAAGATCGGCTTTTATCTTTGAACATCTGCTTTAATCCACAAACATCTGTTTTAATCCTCAAACATCTAATTTAGTCCGCAAAACTCTGATTCATCCGATTTCACCTGCAAGCATCTGCTTTTATCCGCGAAGATCTGCTTTTATCTGTGAACGTCTGCTTTAATCCGCAAACTTCTGCTTTTATCCGCAAACATCTGCATTTATCCGCGAACGCCTTCTTTAATCCGCAAACATCTGTTTTAATCCGCAAACATCTGTTTTAATCCGCAAACATCCGATTCTATCTGCAAAGATCTGCTTTTATCCGCAAACATCTGTTTTAATCTCCAAACATCTGCTTTTATCCGCAAAACATCTATTTCAATCTGCAAACATCTGCTTTTGTCCGCAAACATCTGATTTTATCCGCAAACATCTGATTTTATCCGAAAACATCTCATTTTAATCGCAAACATCTGATTTTATCGGCAAACATCTACTTTTATCCGCAAACATCTGATTTTAATCGCAAACATCTGCTTTTATCCGCAAACATCTGATTTTATCCGCAAACATCTGATTTTAATCGCAAACATCTGATTTTATCCGCAAACATCTGCATTTATCCGCAAATATCTGCTTTTATCCGCGAACATTTGCAAACATCTGCTTTTAATTGCAAACCTCTGCTTTCATCCGCGTTCGGTTTGCCTCCATTTCCTTTGTCAATTTCGGTCCTGTTTCGTACGCAAACGTCTGGTTTCATTAGCGCTTTTTGTTTTCCTTTTTCTCGTGTATACTTTAGTTTAGTTTACCTGCTTTGTCAAATTTTACTGAGCTTTAACTAACTGGTTGTTAGCCGTTCACGGCACACAACTTTATAACTCTAAAAGGAATTATTATTAAATTAACCCTGCTGAAAAAAACTGATCGAAAATGGATCGAGTTTAAATCTCGATCCTTTTTGATCATTTTTGATCATTTTTGATAAGGGTTTTGTCTCCTGTTTTCGCGATCAAAAAGGATCGAGTTTAGATATTTGCGGATAAATGCAGATGTTTGCGGATAAAAGCAGATATTTGCGGATAAAAGCAGATGTTTGCGTATAAAATCAGATGTTTGCAGATAAAAGCAGATGTTTTCGGATAAAAGCAGATATTTGCGGATAAAAGCAGATGGTTGCCTATAAAATCAGATGTTTGCGGATAAAAGCAGATGTTTGCCGATAAAAGCACATGTTTGCGGATATCAGATGTTTGCAGATAAAAGCATGTTTGCGGGTGGAACCGTATGAAAGCAGATGTACGCGGATAAAATGAGATGTTTGCGGATAAAATGAGATGTTTGCGGATAAAATCAGATGTTCGCGGATGAAAGCAGATGTTCGCGGATAAAAGCAGATGTTTGCGGGTGAATGCGGAGGTGCACTAACCGGATGATATCAGGCGTTCGCAGATAAAAACATGTTTGCGGGTGAAACCGTATGAAAGGAGACGTTCGCGGGTAAAAGCAGATGTTCGCGGGTGATTGCAGATGTTCGCGGATAAAAGCAGTTGTTCGCGGGTGATTGCAGATGTTCGCGGGTGATTGCAGATGTTCGCGGATAAAAGCAGATGTTGACGGATAAAAACATATGTTGGCGGTTGAAATTGGACTAGGCATACGTTTGCGGGTAAAAGCATATGCTCGCGGATAAACCCAGACGTAAGCATACGTTTGCAGATGATTCCGGACAAATTCAGATATAAACGAAACACAGTGAAGACGGTTAAAAACAGATGATTGCAGATGATTGCGGGGGTGCACTAACCGGACATAAAACACAACCAACCGGGTGTTCGCGGATATAGCGATGCGGACAAAAGCAGATGTTATCAGATGATATTTTTACCCGCTTTTATCCGGCTTCGACGAAGAATTTATACCCGCAATCATCTGCTTTTATCCGGTTTTGACGAAGAATTTATACCCGCAATCATCCGTCATTTTCAGCAGGGTAATTAAACATTATATTGTTATTCTGGAAGTTATAAACTACCAGTACGTATTTAATAAACGACGACATTGAAAAGCCAAGTCCGTAGTGGTTCCATTTAAAAAAGGAGGGATAGTATAATCTAATATAAGTTTGACAAAGACAGTTAATATAGAAGTAAAAACAAATAAATAAAAGTAATTATAACGCTCTAGCAACGATATTGTAACTTAGCAGCTACGTTCCAAATAGTAGCAGGGTTTATAGCTAGTGACATATTTGTTACCTTTTTGGAACTCAATAATTGTTCCCCACTTTAGTCGTAACTTTAGTTATGAAAGAGTAATGAAAGAGTAATATAAAGAGACCGGCGACTGTCGCACAAAACACTTTAAAGTTTCTTCAATAGTCCCATATACGTAACAAATACTTAAATTGTTGCTTGGGCAACCAACATTTAATTGCTCTACTGTCACAGAACAGACCATAGAAAAATAACAGACTAACATAGAAAAAGACTACTGTTAAATACACACAATCTAACGTATTTGCTACCGTCTAGCATCACCACCTATCAATAAATCCTTGAATTCTTGAAAGAGTATTCTCTATTATGAATGATGTCAAAACAAAATTAAGAAACAAAATAATATTTTCAAAAAATTTCAATCCAAGTGAAAGTATGTTAAGTTTACCTATATAATTCAGACATATATAAAACCAACATAAGCAGAATTCTGATGATGAATTAAATGTACAGTTTAGACAATTAAAATGTGATCCCGTTATGATAAGAAAAAAAAGTAATGACTGAGGAATGTTTTATTTATATAGAGAAAATTATTTATTTTATAGGTATATAAAAATAATTTATTTTGTTATGTTTTAATTACTTTAAAATAAATGTTTTTAACGAATGTAAAAAATCACTTTTTATGAGTACATCCTATAAATTAAAGGCTATAACATACAGTGCTTGCAAATCCAAGTCCGACCGGGTTGGAACGCCAAACAGAAGGCGCTTACAATACGCAGGCCTGCCGGCTCTGACCAATCAAATTCTGCTTTGCATTCTATCATTGTTCTGTTCACGCGGGTATTGAACAACGGTCCTTCCCAACCCGGTCGGACTTGGATTTGCAAGCACTGTATAATAATAATTATAAAATAGTAATTCTCTGTTCATAAATCGATTTTTGTTTTGATTTTATATAAGTACCTGTGAGTGGCAAAAATTTATATATTCAAACTTCCCGCTAAAAAATTATTTGGCGATTTTGGCTACTTCAACAGATCCATCTGGCGACACAAGGATAAAATATTCTGACCACCCTGATCGTGATACATCTCTATACAGTATGTATACCAAAGACTTGTCTCTGATGTATACTTTGTGAATCTAAACAAATTTACAATTTTTAATTGAATACCTGTGTTTTCTATCAAAATTACTTCTTGCGTAAATTTTGGGACACCATTTATTATTTTTTATTTAAAATTAAATTAGGGCCTTTTCACTGGCTTCACTCCGATCCTGTAATTATTAAAATGAATGGAAGAAGAAGAATAACCTTACTTTAACCAATTTTTGTGCAAGTCAAATGTTTTTATTATTTATTGTGCCAATTTTAACATTTATTCTAATACATTCAACACTATTTCAAAGTATTGTTAGTACCTACCCTTATAAATCATTTAATTTAATAATTAATTTTATTCAATTTTAGATCTTGAAATGGTGGAAAAAGGCAACCCCAAAAGAAAGAGAACTGTTCTCCCAAGTTTTTAAACTTAAAAGGGAGCAAAACACTTTAAACATGGTGGATGATTTTGCAAAATATTCGAAAATACAAAGAAAAATAAACGTCATCGAACTAGAACTAGAAGAGCTAAAAGGAAACAAAAATACAACTGTCCCTTTAGGTCTTGCTATTAAGTATGGGTTGAAAGTTATTATTTCTTTATTACTCCTTATTATGTCTATATACTTTAGAAATACGCCAGTATTTACAATTGATAAAAGTCTAGATCTTGCTCCATTTAATTATATTATAAGTTATCCAAATGAACTTAATCATGTGTCCTTTCATTTTTGGGTGATATGTTGTACTTCAATGGCAGAACTAATAAAATTATAAACGCAAATGTTTTTTTTAACCAAGTCTGTAATACAGACCCAATAACCTATAAGCTTCATGGTAAAATTACTAAAGCATAAAATAAATTTACTAACCCAATATCCACTTTAACAGTAACATAGTTACCTAAAACACGGTAAAACAATAATTAAATGGTAAATATACAGAATTATTTAAAATATCTGACGTTTATTTGACATTTAGGTTACCAACTGTCGTAAAAAATACCAACCGTAAAAGAAAATTCCCTCGATTTGCATGTGCCTTTCACATTCCGGTAAAATTATCAGGATTTGCGTGGCATTTTGCAGTCAATGAAATTAATCCGTACTATTCGCCAGCTGCTTAAATTTCAAGACGTTTTAAGAAGTTCCTGCTATCTTCAGTGTTTTCCGAATTTCACAAGTTACAGACATTTTTACATCAGCACTTCTGTTGACCAGAAGTGGGGCACAAATAAAAAACATAGAAACGTTAAGTTAAATATTTATTTTGATACGATGGCAGATCCCAAAATTGAAGAGATTTTGGCTCCTTTGAGAGCCAATGTTAAAGAACAAGTAAGTTTTAAATTATATAAAATTTCACCAATAATATAATAACTTATAAAATAAGTCTTCAATATGTTTTACTAAAGTTAAAACAAAATTACAATAAAATACAATGCATAAAGGGTTGCCCTAAGGTATGTCACATCTTTTTACATGAGTTACCAAAACTGTATTATCAGCAAATTGGAGAATATAGTTCTGGTCGTTTATGTATAGAGGGTTAAAATTGTACATAAGTATAACAAAATAGATTAAAATGAAGCCTTGTGGCACTCCTTCTTTTGGTGAAAAAGTGGGGGATGATGTAGGTATTGCCAATTTTTACTTTTAATTTTCTTTCCATGAAGAACTAATTTTTTACCTACCCATACCAGATAATTCAGAAATTTCAATTTTACCAATTTTTTTAGCAATGCATTGTGCCATACAAAAGTAAAGGCTTTATATCACAATATAACAGGCAATAAAGTAATGGCCCGGCTGGTAGTTGCCTGGGTCATGTTCAAATTATTTCTACCAAATCATAGTAGCCACTAGTCATATCTACTGTGCAGAAGGCTTAGAACGTAAAGAAACTACTAACAACTGTATATAAATAGGTAACTGTCAAAACAATAGTTACCTGTTTAATAAATTAAACTGTTTAAAAAGTGGACTTTGTTTATTAGCACTTGGTACCTATAATATATTAAATATATTAAATCCAAAATGAAATTGTTGGGGAATGGCGATTAAATATTCCAGGCTCATTCTAATACCGTTTGTAAAGATTTTTATAATTTTAAGTACTGGTTTTGGACTTGTATCCTTAAGAATTAAAAAATGTATTGTCCCTATTTGAACTTATTTCTTCCAATACTGGGTTTTACAAAATAAACAATTTTTGATAGAACATTTTTTTTTATTGAAAACGAAAATTTTACACAAAACATAAGATTTTGTTCTAACAGCATACAAAATTCTTTAAAACTAAAAGTTTTTAGTTCTAAAGAATTCCAAAACTTTAGGGTTCTAAGAAGTATCCCTTAAATAAGAACATACGTATTCTTTTTTTTTTAAATTGCACCGCACAACCACGTGATTATTACTTGCATACAAAACTGAAACAGCAAAAATTATATTGTTCTAACAGATCAAAATTCTCTTCTCTCATTGGTTGGTCTGTTAGGATATTATAATTTTAAACCGTTTTTAAATAAGTGCGATAGAACAATTTAATAATGCTTTTTTTTTAGTTTGTGTATTAAAATAAACAGGCATTTTTATATACATAGAACAGAAATTTTATGTACTATTTTTCTATAAAAAAAGCCGATTTCGCGCCAAAAGTGCTGTTAAAACATTATAATACTCAACCCACGATTTGTTACATAGACCAGTTATAAATTATCTTATACGGTATACCTATATGAATATTAAAATGGTTATATTAAATAACTATTACCTAAGTGCAGAAAGTGCTACTTTTTTCCATGCGACTGTCGTTGAACAAACGACGCGCGCGTGTTTTCAAGCACATCAAATAAGATAGGAAACTTCTTATTTTATCATTAAAAAACATAGTCGTCGAAGACAATTGCACGAACGACGCGAAGTTCTAGCAAGCAGTAAGTGCGAAAAAATTACTTTGCGCATGTGTTAGCCTAGAAAAAAATTGTTACACTGTTAGGGACAATTTTTTTCTACAAGCAAGGACATGTCGCAATTTTCTTTATCAGTTTCCATTTTTAACTTAAAAATTTTTTCTGCAAGCGTGCGAAAAGTTGATACTTATATGTTTGTATTAAATTATTTAAGAAATATTTTTTGTTTTCAATTAAAAATACCATTAAAGGCTTCATAATTTAATAATATTATTTCTGTATTAACGCATTTGCGTGAGCAAACTAAGCGCGCGGTAAAGTATAACTTTGCGCACGCAAATGCGTGCGGATAAGTATTACTTCGCTCATCAGTCAAGTGCGAGAAGACACTTTCTGCGCGTGTTAGGTACAATATTTTTTCTACAAGCAAGAAAATCTCGCAATTTTTCATTTGTAGGTAAAGTAAAAATGTTGGGCCCCACTGGTTGTTCCTGACCTATGACAACTGACGCAAAATATGCTTGCACAGTGGGCAATAATATACATTGATTAAAAATGTGTTATAATTGATTACTTTGTTGATAATTGATTTTTGTTTTGCATACTCGCTATTTTTAGGTAATTATTTATACTTATTTTTTATTGTTAGGTTAGGTTTCCGTGGTTTTCCCGTCGATTTTAAATTTCACCTTTTACTTTTTACGTCGATTGACGCTCATGTAGCTATTTTTTTGTGTTCCACAAAATCACAATAAATGTTCAACCGTTATTATCCACACAAAGTTGACAGCGGCGTAGAAAATTATGGTGTGTCGCTCTGGCTATCATATCCGGATGATTTCTGATTTTATCTGCCGCTGCAGTGACAAGTTCGCGGAGTTGTTCTAATGTGTCAACTTCGCTCTGGTACACTAAAATGTCCATGTAGCCCCAGCGAAACCACAACAACAACCGAACTGTCAGTAATCAATGATAACAAAGTACCTACTAACCGATTTAAAATAAGTTTAAAAGTTTGCTTGATATTACATAATACACTGTGCGCATACCTACCTGTGTCTTTTTAGCTTGTGAATAATATCATTGTTTTTAGAGGTAAAAACAATGATGATATATAGGATAGGTCAGTGACATCCAGTGAAAAAAAAAATCAATTTTTTTTATTAAAAACAGTAGCACTAACGTAAAAATGATAGAGGAAAAACTTTCTTGTTTTGGCGTGTACTATCATCCCCCCAAATGATGACAATTAATGACAAATTAATTTATTAGGTACTATAGTATACTATACCCACCAAAACAATTTTAAGAATTAAAAAATTTAAAAAAAAAATGTTTTAATTTTTTTGTTATTAAGTAGAAATTTCCCAAATTAGCCTATGCTTTTTAACGCTGAAAAAAAATTAAAATTTCAATGAAACAAGTTAGTGCCACTAAAAACTATTGTTTTTTTAACAAATAAACTTTTAAGAATTTAAAAAACCATTAATTTCCGAAAAACTAATAACATTAAAACTGAAAAATTTAAACAAAACGTGTCCCCAAAGAAAAAATATAGAAATTTAAATCAGATGAACAAGCAGGCCAATTTTGTGGTCCACCTCGTCCAATTCATCGGCCAGGATACTGCACGTCCAAGACTCGTCGAACTTCGTGGTGGGGCTCATCATGCTGCAACCTTTTATTAATATTGGCATGTCGTCTAACAAATTCGGTTTCCATAAAGTCTGCATAAATTTGACCTTTTAATGGTGCAGGAAATTCAAAAGGTCCAACCTAGAGGCATTGAAGCACCCTTGCCTGCCAAAAATTGAATCATCCGACAAAAAAATGTTTGAGACAAAATTTGGCGATCGTCCTTTATAACCGGCTGAACTGTTGAACAAAAAACATCCAGTTCGCGTGAAACTTTCCTTATGCTCTTCCTACTATTTTCCTCAAAGGCATTCAAAATAGCTTCTTCATTTTCCACCGAAGCACCCTAAATTTCGTTACGACGCGCAACAACTTGATCTTTTTACTGTCCAGGGGACGATCGGGAAAGCACTGGGGAAAAACTCCTGCTGCCTCCCTGGCGCTGCGCCCACATTTCCCATAAAACATTATAACAAAAAAAAGTCATTTGCAATTAGGAAATTATCCAATAAAGTTTATTATTATTTAATTTTTTTTACAATTAGCCTTATATAAACAATAATATTTAATTTTAGGGTGATCTTGTGCGTAAATTAAAAGCTGATGGGGCTCCAGATTTGGATGTGAAAAAGGCTGTGGCTGAACTAAAAGCCAGAAAAAAGATTTTGGAGGATAAGGAACTAAGTTTGGCTCCAAATGCTACTTTTGATAGGGCAAAAATGGAGGATCTCCTAAAAAGGAGGTTTTTCTATGACCAATCCTTTGCCATTTATGGAGGAATCACTGGACAATTTGATTTTGGACCAATGGGATGTGCCTTCAAGTCAAATTTACTTCAAGCATGGAGACAGTTCTTTGTTTTGGAGGAACAGATGTTGGAAGTGGATTGTTCAATTTTGACACCAGAACCAGTATTAAAGTAAGTTTGCATACAGTTTTATCGTTTTTACATTGTAATTTAATGTTTATTTTTATTTTAGAGCCTCTGGACATGTTGATAGATTTGCTGATTTGATGGTTAAAGATAGTAAAAATGGTGAATGCTTTAGGTTGGATCATTTAATTAAAGCTCATTTGGAAAAAATTGCTGCTGATAAGAAAACAACTGCAGTAACTAAGGCAGAATGTGAGGATATTGTTATTAAAGTAAGTTTTTTAAACCTCAATAAAACTATTTATGAATAAATAACTAAATTATTCTTAACAATGCATGTTTTACATTAATTTTTTTAAATATTTTAGTTAGATGGCATGAATAAGGATGAAATGGCTGCAGTTGTAAAAAAATTCGATATGAAGAGTCCCTTAACTGGAAATGAACTAACTGAACCAATGGAATTCAATCTGATGTTTGCCACCGAAATTGGTCCTTCAGGATTAGTGAAAGGGTAAAGATTTTTAATATTTTTTCTTTGGCAAATACCCAGTAAAATAAACAAAAAAAAAATAAAAGTAAATAAAAGATGTTATATTGACAAGGTCACAACTTATATTAATTATATAAAATTAAATTTACCCACAATATTCATTATGTATATTCACATAAGACCGCCTTTTGCTATATTAAAATACCAAGCGTACAAAAATGAGGTTGATTTAGAGCCTTTTTTATCTTGTTAAGTAAACTATACTATCCCGAATTTTTTATAATGCGAGACCACTGTTTTTTTTCGCTTATTTAAAATTGTTTTAGGTCAAAAACGACTTTTTAAATAAATCTGTAGCAACTTTAAACCTGGTTTATTTAAGAATTAAATAATAAGTTAAGACTTAAAATCTAATGAATGTGATATTAATAATAATAATTCTATTTATTACTAATTTAAGACTCAAATTGTATGTGATACTAGTAATAATCTTGATTGCCTATATATATTGTTGTATTTTATGCCTGTTATAAACATTTATGTTTTTTGGGTTTAATAAAAAAAAAAAAAAAAATAGGATTGACTATATGAAACATATTTTTGATTGCAAATATATTTAGTTAATAATAATAATATTTTATCTTGACATACCTTGGATAAATTTAAATCTACTCTTAACCAGAATATCAAATTTCGTTCTTACAGCTTCCTAAGGCCAGAAACCGCTCAAGGAATCTTCGTAAACTTTAAACGCCTCCTGGAATTCAACCAAGGAAAACTCCCGTTCGCGTCGGCCCAAATTGGTTTGGCTTTCCGTAACGAAATCTCCCCAAGATCCGGTTTAATCAGAGTAAGGGAGTTCACGATGGCCGAAATCGAGCATTTCTGCGATCCCAGCGACAAGAGCCACTGGAAATTCGACAGCATTAGAGACACTGAATTGCTGTTGTACTCCGCTTGCAATCAGATGGACGGCAAAGCCGCTGAGAGGACCAAGATCGGGGATGCTGTTGATAGGGTAAGTGGAACATTTTTCCTTGGTTCATTATTACAGTTGAAAAAATCAAATATAAACCTTAAAGCAATTAACTTAACGTCATATCCTTTTAAACTTGAAAATAAGGCAATAAAATACATATTGTTTTTTCATAATAAGGATGTTTTCCTCCTCTCCTTAAAAATTAACATTAAATTTTGTACACACCTTGTTGAGCAAATATTGTTTTCACTGTTAAAAGGGCATTTGCCCTTAAATAAATTTCTTAGTGGCGTTTTTAATTTTAAATAAAAAGAAATTTTTTAGTACATATGTATATAATCTCGTTTTTAAATAAATATACATTCTACTAAAAGACGTATATAAAAAATCAAGACAGGCACAAGAAATATTTCTTATGCCTGTCTTGATTTCAGAAATTGGTGGCCAACCAAACCTTGGGATACTTTTTGGCAAGAATTCAAAAGTTCTTAACCAAAATCGGTGTGGATCCCGCTAGGCTAAGATTCAGACAACACATGTCTAACGAAATGGCTCACTATGCTTGTGATTGCTGGGACGCCGAAATTCTTACCAGTTATGTAAGTAAAAATCACACGATAAAAAACTTAAACCTAACACATAAATAAATTTAGGGTTGGGTGGAATGTGTGGGCTGCGCAGATAGATCTGCGTACGATTTAACGCAGCACACGCAAGCAACTGGTGTGAGATTAGCCGCAGAGAAAAAATTGTCGGAACCAAAAATTGTTGATGTTGTTGAGGCTGCTCCAAATAAGGGAACCTTGGGAAAAGCATTTAAGAAAGATGCCAAGGCTATTACTGATGCATTGGCCAACCTACAAATCAATGATGTCGAAGAGTTGGGACAAAATTTGGAAGGAAAAGGGTAAGATAGTTTTTAATAAAATCACCACGAAGATTTACACTTTTATAGGATAAAGAAGGCTAAATATTTTTAAACATTTCTTATACATTATGCTTGGAAATCACCACTTTTGGTCATTTTTACATACACCTTGTATAAATAATAAAATATTTTAGATCTTATGAGTTATCAGTTGGTGACCAAAAATTCACCCTCACCAAAGATATGTTGAGTGTGAAGCGTTACCAAAAAACTTTACACGTTGAAGAGATCACGCCCAGCGTTATTGAACCATCTTTTGGTAAGATAAACCAAATATTTCTTAGTGTGTTCCTAAATGTTATTTCTATTTATAGGTATTGGAAGAATTATGTATTCCGTTTTTGAGCATAATTTCAAAATGCGGGAAAATGATGAACAAAGAACATATCTGTCTCTTCCAGCCGTTATTGCTCCATTAAAATGCAGTGTTTTACCTTTGAGTGGCAATGCTGAGTTTGTACCTTTTGTAAAGCAATTATGTGAGTAAAATATATAAGCAATATTTCTATTATAGTAATTAGGCATAATACTGTACTTATTGAATCTTTAGAAATCAAGGAGTACATAAAACATTCTGGATAAGCTGGTTTAAACTTTAAAGGGTGGAATGTCAAATTCCCGTATGGCGCTTTCTGTCCTTTTTTTAAACATTTATCTAGTGTTATATTGGTTGGACAGAAAAGATTTTTTTTTTAAATGGCAAACTAAAAAGGTCTTGGATTTCCGTTTGGCCCGGTGATTTTTAGACACCCTGTAGGTACCGTTTTAATATAATGATTTAAGCGTTGACAATTACCAGCGGCAAATTTTGGTAAAAAGATAGATATCCTTGGGGTAATAATTACTAATTACCATTACTGAAACCAATACCAACATCTTCAACACGTAAAAAATCCAGGAACCATCGTAATCACAATGACTTAAAGAGCATACTTTGAGACCCTGAAACCATTGGTAAAATGTCATCAACAATACAGGGTGTCCCGAAAATGGCGCACACTAGCGGTGTAGGTTAAGTATAAAATTTAAAAAAAACTGGTTTCCTATTAATACGCTAAAGAAGTATTGCTAGTGGTGCCACCACGTGGCAGTCATTATTGTAACTAAAATACATATTTTAATGAACAGCTGTCAAACGTTTATGTTAGAAACGAGTGTTTTTGAGAATAAAATTGAAATATGACAAGGTATTGGCAAGACAATACGTTCCCAAGAATGATTTACCTTTTTATAAAAATCTAACATTCTACCAAGCTTATGATAACGGTGGAGTCGAATGTACTGATAATGATGAAAATGAATAAATATAATCATATTACTAAAAAATATATGTAATTATAATTTTGCATTGCTGGGGCAAGAAGAAGGTAGCTCCGCGCAAATCAGAATTATGTGCTTTGTGTAGGGTGCCGGTCAAAATCCCGACAATCAAAATCCCGACAGTTAGAATCCTGACAGACGAAATCCCAACAGGTCAAAATCCCGACAAGTTAAAATCCCGACAAGTTAAAATCCCGGCAAGTTAAAATCCCGACAAATTCAACTTTTTTATATAAAAATTTTTCTACATTTCGCTGTTCTTTTTGAAATTCTTCTATAATATTGTATAGGCCAACATGTGCACGTCCCATAATCTATGCCTTTGTGTATAATTTTTGTACAAGATTTTTGGTGTGTATTTCTTTTAAAGTAAATACTTTTATTAGGTATGAGTATGAGTATGGGAACGTATGGCAAGCCCCAGATATATTGTCATCCACTGATCTCCCGGGGTTATATTACCCCCTTTCCGTTCTCCTGCGTATCCCGCCAAATCACAGCATTACCTGTGTTTGTTGGATCCGAAGTTTTTACGCCGGCTGGTAGATCCACCCTAGGAGTTCGTGGATGACAGTGTCAAAGGTTAAGGCAGCTCCCGGGATTTTTGTCAGCCGGGTCGGGCCATACGTCCAGTTTAGGAAGGGTTTTTGGAGGACATTGAACTGACCCAAAACTAAGTACAATCCGGAATCCTCCTCAACCTAGGCCTTAGTAGTATCCCCATTCAATTGGTATTCGTAAATGGGGGTGGGTATGTTAGTTTTTTGCTTACTCCGGCTACCAACCTTGTATATTCTTTATTTATTTTATTGCTATATTAGTGTTCATACCGTTTTCATTTATTTATATCTTTGCCTTCCTACTTATTTTTTTTCAAATTAATTTAAAAATAAAAATATTAATATACAAAATAGATAAAGCCGGCCCTGTGGTGTATCGCATCAATATTTGAAACCCGGCCTCTATGTCAGGCGTGCAACGCATGCCTCAATAGATGGCCTACCACTTCATTTTCACGTGGGGGCTTTGCCCATTTACTTTCGCCATCCTCCAAGCTTTGCTTGCGTGAGCTTATGTGTATATTATATAATATATATAATACAATAATATAATATTGCGACGCACCCACTTGATTTCCCTTCACACACGCACGCTGCCCTCTGCAATGATCAATTGTTGCCTGGTTTCCTGTTAAATTAGTATCTATATAAATTCAATATAAATTCAATATAAATAATGCCAATATCAACATCAATAATGCCAATATCAACATCAACATTAATACCAACAATATTACCATCAATACCAATACGATTATATCAATATCAATCAATCAATTAATTTATTAATTAATTAGTTAATCACTTTATGTAAATACCAATCTTCAAAATAGAGCCGGCCCTGTAGTGTATATAGTGGAATGCGGCCTTATGGCCTGCTTGGCTCTTGAGTTCTGTGTATTAGTTTGGCTTTGATTTATGGGTGTGACCCTAAATTTATTTATGATAAATTTTTGTCTTCTTGCTTGAATTGGTTTATTTACTTACGCCTTTTACACTGGTTGTTTACGTTTGTCTACTATGAGAAAATTAGGTTGTTTATTTAACAGTTACGGAAATGTTCTTATTATTTTTTAAAATTTAATTTTTAAGACGAATAGAATTCTTAGATTTTTTTGCAACATTGTGAAATGCTTATATAAACATTTAACGATTATACGGTAAGACATGCAATTAGAAGAATTACTTAGCTTGATTATTAGGCTATAAACCTGATGCTTTGTCTTTCGCGGGGTGGCCTTCTCCTGCAGGTTTTTGCATAGAAAAAGGATATTTTTGGAACGCTCCGATCCAGGTGCGCCGGTTGACTTATCGTTGCTGCCTAGCCTCAATTAGGTACTTATTCACTTGCACACTTTTACGGCGTTATCTCACAATTTTCGCACTTCTTGCACTTGTTTGTTTATTTATGTATTTATTTATTATTTATTAACGATTACCGATATTTCCGGATACTTTGTTTCGTTTTTGGTACTTTACGTTTGTATCGTATACGCCACTTAGGAGGGATCTTGACGCATCCGACCTCTTCGAGTGTCAAGACATAATGAACTCTAAAACGCCTTTATTATTCTTTATAAAATTTTGGATAAAAATACTTCAACAGCACGTGTTCGAGGGTTTTTCGAGAAAATATTTTTAAAGCCCTTTTATTTAATAATGAAAAAACGTTCGAAAAATAACTTTTAGTGATTTTTTTTAAGTAAATAAAAAATATGCTGACCGTATTTTTGTTAGTATAACCTGAAAATTTTGTACAAATTTAACGAACAGTAACAAAGTAGAAATTTTGGGCCGCCACTGGTTGTTCCTGATCTATGACAACTGACGCAAAATATGCTTGCACAGTGGGCAATAATCTACATTCATTAAAAATTTGCATTTTTGTTATCATTGATTACTTTGTTGATAATTGTTTTTTGTTTAGCATACTCATCAGCTGTTTTTAGGTACTTTGAATAAATCAATAATTACTTTTTATTGTCAGGAATCTCGAGGTTTTCGTGGTTTTCCCGTCGATTTTAAATTTCACCTTTCACTTTTTACGTCGATTGATGCTCATGTAGCTATTTTTTAAGCGTTCCACAAAATCATAATAAATGTTCAACTATATAGTTATACCCGCCGTTATTATCCACACAAGTTCGGATATCATTACTAAATTCCTATAACGTAGCAAAGCTGTCCCAATTTACTGCATTTTTTAGTAAACATTTCCAAAATAGTTCTCTCCGTGCAAGAATTTAAAATTTGCGGATTTGAAATAAATTGAACTGAAAAGCTTTAACTTATTTTACCTTCTATTACTTCTATTATTTATTAAAACATATGCTTTCAAAAACATTATAATATGAAAAGTCGAATTCCAATTACATATATAGCTATAGCTTGAAAACTTGACAAATCTCTCTATTCACCCCGTTTTAGGATAGTTTCTAGGACCTTTTTTCCCTTAAAATACATAATATAAAAAAGATTTATTAAAAGTGTCATAAAGCAATAATAACACCTTAAAGCCCTGAATGTCAGTCATCCCCGATCAAGTTTTTATTTCCCTTTCAATTTCTTTTATGGCCACCGACAGATTATTGTGCCTAAATGATAAAGATGAAAGGCAAAAAATACGGTAGTAATTCAAAATCGAAAAACCGTAAAAGATACGCTGCTACCAATTTGGGGGATTAACTGTTGACAATATATCCCGAACCAGGTAAAAATGTAGATATCCCAAGAAACATGATTATCTACTTTGATAGGTCAACAAAAGTTTTAATATGATATTATTAAAAAATGAGATCAATGACTTAACAAACAAAACTGTATACAGAAGTTAAATACTATATTTTATTTAACCGGAAGAAAATATTTTATGCAAATATTGAAAAATGTTTTTAACTCCTGTTAAAAAGACAAACAGACAATATATAAGGTGTATAACAAAAAAACTTACTCAATAAAAGAATAAAGCAAATTAGTGTAATAAATAATTTGGATAGCATGTTATCAAAATGCATAAACATTTTTTATAACAAACCCGTTACATTGATTTTATTATAAATAAAATAATTTCTGCAAAGCTAATTTAAAAAAAATTAATAGTGTTCATTGTTAAAGATACTGTTGCTCGTTGCACATTTTTGGAAAATGGCCTTAAGAGTTTTATTATTATTTTAGATATGAATTTTTTGGAGACCCAGGAAATTATTTCAGGGGTGTCCCGAAAATGTTGTGGGGAAACAGTGAAAAAATAATATGGAGTCATTCCATATAAAAACGTCCAATCGGAGTGCTGGATCGTTTAAGATTTTGATAAAAAAATTGAGGATGATCTTTAGGTATCAAATATAAATCACCGTCCCTAAATTTTGAAAATTTTGTCATGTTCATATCCCAATTTGAGCTACATCTTCTTTTCTATTGTAAAAATTTTGATGATTGTAATTTGATTTAACCAACTAGTATACTTATAAGTGTGTTTTCATTATTTATTGTAAAAACATATTTTTTTACATTTCAACAATAAACGATGGACCAATGCAAATTTGCCATATTCAATTTGCCAATTTTTGGGATTTTCAGATGGCTTCCGCGCCAACCCT